TGTGCAGGTATCTTCAGCTCTGATAATAAACTCTCAACTGTCCTTTTCAGATCTCATTGCCTATCTGAAGGAGGCCACAAGCAGCTGAAACCAAGCATTTGAATTTAGTTTGTCCAGTGACATGCGACTACATGGATTTGACCTACTTTCTATCGAGCATGTATCATATTATTTGAAGACACTAGAGTGAATTGCTGGATGTGTCTGGATTGCATAATTTAATTTGTACAGGATGTGAACAGTAATTTTTCAAGGCAACGCTTTGTTTTATGTTCTGATTTTAAAAGGCTGTGATGGTAATAAAACTTTTTTAGTTTTATCTTCAAGTTTTGGTGTTCTTTTGCCTTACACTTACCACATGTCCTGTGATAGCCTGCAAACAGGGTCTTTCTTTCCCTGCAAAGAGCCTGCTCACAAGCCAGTCCTCTGATAATAATAATGGGCATCCATCAGGCTCTGGGTGTAGTACAGCATTGGGTGTTTTATACTTAAAGACAATCACAACCAAAATGTTTCCCAGTAAAAAACAGCTTTTGCCAAAAGAGCAAAAAAAATGTGCTCATTTTCGAGATAAGGCACATTGAAGACCTTGCCATTTTAGAAGCTGTCATTATTCTAAGACATAATTGGTAAATGCCTGGATTAAAGTGATTCCTCAGTATTGCATTGCTCATCCCTAATTACCACGGAAAATGAGAGCATAGCTAGCACTCGTAAAAGATAATATGTGGCCCCAGAACACTCCATGCTTGGAACATATTGTACCCCTGTCGACTATGTGTAAGTATGTGTGCCCTTATCATGAAACGTACATCAAATTGCTCCTTAACATTTTTGCAATACATCCGTTGTATTTCTCACTTAACTTGCTCTCTATTTTTCTGCTCTCTTAAAGCATAGGGTGAATGGTTCAAATTTAAACGTTTCTGAAAGCAGAATTATGGGGTTTATTGAAGGTCTTCCTGCTCCTAAATGAATATGGGGACCCTGCTTTTTTATTTCAAATTTTGAGTTCTCTTGATGTAAGCAGCCTACAGGTAAAGTTTGAAAGAAAATCTATGGTGAGTTCTATTTCAATGGAATTACCTTAAGGGCCCATTAACCGATATCATGCACGAGAGCTGTGTGTTGCTAAGGAGGTGAAATTTCGCTGATCGGAGGGCAGTTTCTTAAAATGCTAACGGAATGCTGTTTTTCATTAAATCTAGCTTTTTTCCGCGAGTTATGATTCTAGCCATCTTTGAAACATAGTTATTTTTTTAGTAATATATTTTTAAATTTATTTATTTATTTACTACATTACACTACTTACAAAAAAAAAATACAGTATCCTATTTACACTACTTACAACCCAATACTACATGTAAGATAATACAAAAAAAGTGTAGTCGAACACAAAACCCTAAAATATAAAATATAGTACGTTATTACAAAAAAAAAAACATAGCTATGCATTCCTTTTGTAAACTCATGCTTTTTTCAGAAAATTTCGAACCTTTAAGAAATGAAACCATGCCAACGCACAGCAAAATAAAGATTAAAATAAAAATATTAAATTGATAAAAAAAATACATATATATGCTTGGGAGCCTTTACATTTTTTCAGAATTAGTCACATGGCCATGGGCATGGCCTGATACGTTGTCCTCACTGGCGTTACTGATCTTGAAAAAGATCAGACATGAAATAACTCTGAACTAACTACAAAGGACGAGGTTACAAAGAATAAATTTTCTTAGCAATGGCCCAAAAAGATTAGTTAATGACCTAAACCATACTAAATCAAATTAAAGCTTAGAGACTGGCTATCACATACCAAGAATTTTGAAATATATGAATTGTTGAATTTTTCACTACCTTTAAATGTGAGCGTCAAATCATCTTTTGGGTCCCCTTTGAAAGCTGCTAGTCATTTACAGTTACATTTAATCTTTCTTTAAACACGGTTTAAAAATTTGTCAGTTTAAAAACCTAATATATATACTTAATTCCTAATGTCTAATATAATGGAAATAATTAAATAAGAAAGCTGCTTTCCTTGAATGCTGTGCCTTAGACATCTCCTTTGAGTAGGTGTTTTAATTGTCCCAGGGACTCAGATTCCCTAGGTCAAAGGAAATTTGTTTGTCTGCCTTCAAATTTGGCTGAGTAGCTAGTTTTTGACATATAAAGAACGAAACAGTGTCTGCAAATTTTTTTTTTTGGAATGTTTTTTCTCCGAGAGGGATTTTTCTACGATCACTCCATATTTTTTTTAATCCTATTTTGAAAATGTTCTGTAAGTACTTTTCACTGAAATTGAGCGTGGCAAATCACGGACACATGTTTTGAGCACTTTGGGTCTGGAAACTGAAGGACAAATTAAATAAGCGAAAAACAAAATCCTCTTTGACTTGTAGTTTTCAAAAAGTGATTGAACCCACCACCCCTTTACCACCCTCTGTATGCAGTAACTTTAATCTGGTGAAAAATAAACAAATCACATGTATCTGCAAACCCTTTTAATTCCCAGTAACCAGACATATACTTCTCCAAAACATGCAAATTAGCACATCTCGTGTTACATTCTGAAAGTCGGCTCAGTACGAGTTGCATAAATTTGGAAGTTTCATTTATTATTATTCTTATCCCACTCATTCAAGCTGAAAATTCTCATAGCCATGACAAAGATCAACAGAGATCCATGCTGTCTTGGATTAGTTTGTGGTTATCACTGCAGCTACCTCAGGGCAGATTTTTTCAGGTTCAATGAACATTTTTAGCTACTAACATTTATTAGTTCTTATTGTCCCTCGGCAAGTGATAAACTTTTCATAAGCATGACAATCAAAACAACACGTTACCAGATCAAGCAGAGGCTTGTTAGGGAGAAAGGTTTGTAAATTCAGCAAGAAAGAATATCATCTGCAAATAAGGTTGGGAAGCTTCACCATCACAATGGCAATAAAGAATTACACAACACCTGAGTCACATATTCTATAGTCCATAATTGTAGAGATGTTTTGAGGACCTTGTATTCAATACCATAAATCTTCAAATTAGCAACCCCCCCCCCCCGCCCTTGAATGAGCACCCCCTTCGAATAAGCGCCCCTCTTATCAGCCAAAGTTCAAAATAAGCACCCCCCTCGAATAAGCATCCCCCTTCCCTCCCCCCATTTTGTGGACGAGTACTGAAACAACTAAGGATGTAAAGTTTTTGTCGTGTAGTATTATATTTTGTGCATTATTTCAGTTTGTGAACATGTTAAGTACCAACAGTGCCGTGATTTAAACTTTAGGATCAGCTTTTTATGTCGATAAACAGCTTATGTTGTTGTTTACACACAGATGATGTATTAAAAAAACATGATCATGTCAGGCCACAATTTGGGAAAAATTGAATAAGCACCCCCCTTGAGTAAGCACCCCCCTCAAATAAGTGCCCCCCCCCATCTTCTCCTAAATTTGAAATAAGCACCCCGAGTGCTAATTTGAGGATTTACAGTATCTGAAATTTGAGCTGAACAATGTTTTAAAACTGTAACTTGTAATGCATGAGACATTTCATGTAGATCTCTATAGTGCTACAACTCCAGTATAGGAATATTCAACTTGATCACAGGAGGAAGAAAATAGAGAGAGACTTAATACACCTGTATTTCACACTAGAAAGTACAGTTCAAGAGTACCACATTCAAATGAAACAATACCAGTCAGATTTATCAAAATTTTATTTTCAAAGCTAGCTATTGAGTCTTGTTCCTAAAAAAGGAATGGTTCATTTTACAAAAATAGACTCAACAAGTAGTCAAGTAATGTTCAAATAATTAACACCATACAGTCAATGCTTTGACATTTCCATCATTTAAAAGAACTCTACTTTTTTACTTAGTTCACAATCATGATAACATTAAGAATTTGATGTTTAAAATGAGGAAAGGAAAATTACGAAATTCACCATCTAACAATACCTTGGCATCCATTCTTACCAGCCAACAATTGAATTCCCTTCAAATGGTAAATCTGGAAATAACAATTTCATGACCTTACCACTTTGGATGGTATTTAGTTAACAGGTGTTTACAAGTGAATTTTTTCCATGCTTAGATTATGTGAAAAATAATCAGGATAGATTAGGAAGAATGATGAAAGAAATATAAACTTAAAATTGCTTTTATTGTGGGCAATCTTCTACCCATGAGAAATTGCCTTAGTTTTGATTTATCCAAAAAATGCTTGACCATCTACAAAGTTTTTCGGTCAGTTAGAACACGGACAATGCTACCAAGACCAGCAGAGGCTAGGACCTGAAATGAAGCAATGCAAGGAAGTCAAGAATGTTCTGTTGCTAGCTGAATTGTACAGGAAAAGAACACTTTGAAAGTTTCTTCTGACAACACTAAAGTAAATATCTGGCTTTCCACCTGAAAGAGTCAGTCAGTCACTCCGCAAAAAATCAATTTGGCTTTACATTAATGTTTGTACAGTTTCATGATTGCATATAATGGTTAAAAACTACTGCAAAAAGTGTAAAGAGAAAACAAAAATTACTTAGGAATATTTTATAGAAGAAGGCAGCATTAATGGTCTATTCTCAGTTAAACTACAGGCCAAGACTCTTGTTTGACATCTGTGCCCAGTTCATCACTGGCTACTTACAAAATACCCCTTGCACATTTATACAACGACATCTATGCGGCAGCATGATATACCCTCCTGAAGCTGTACTGATGTGTTACCTCTGGTTCCACACAAGTTTCTCAAAAGAGTGTTGTAACCACATCATGACATGATGAAAAATGAGATAACAAAACTATGCTGACCTTCTCATGCCATGTAAGGAGAGTGGCACTTGATCCCTCAGTTGGCTCTGCAAACCCTCGATAGATGTACTTCATTAACACATCCTGCTCATTTTTGTCTAGGGTTTTAACAGCTTTCTCCACTTCAGCCGACTTAACAGCGGTTAGAACACGCAAAACTACTGCAAATGCTTTGTCCTGTAAAATACATTTTGCAAATCATCACTTGTTAATGCTCAAGATGAAGTTATACTTCAGTTTTTCCTGTGTATAACTATTTACACCATAGTGATTGTTAGTGTGGAAAACAGAAGACAAGCAGGGTATTGGCACACATACAAATACACATGGGTATTTTCAAGCCCATGCACTGCTGTCATTACCACATAGATTATGCTTTAAATATTTAAAAACCAAAACACACGTTGTAGTTACTGTTTGGAATAAAAATTAACACTTAATGATTGGTCCCCAGGGGAACAGTGAATTTTGTTTCCAGAGAATCTCAATGTTTCCCCAAGACAAAGTCGAGGGAAACATTGAGATACAAGGGAAACAAAATTCATTGTTCCCCAAGAGACCAGTCATTAAGTGATTTGTTTTATAGCAAAACAAATGGGTTAAACCCGTGGAAAACAAATAATCACTTTATTGACAAATGACGTGCAACAGCGGTCAACATTTTGCGGGTAACAGTGAACTGTTTCCTGTTTGACGTCATAGTTTTTGCAGTGTTGCCCACTCATGGCATTTGGCAGGAGACAGTTTCATTGTTAGATGTCATGTGACCATGAACTAGCCAATGAACGGGTGTGCTGTAGCGGGAAAATTGCCAGCTAAATAACAATATACATTACAGTGATTGTTTTGTATTTTACCTTTGTTGCTTGGTTTTTAGACAGAATAGGTGCATTGGTCAAGGCAGCTTTCAATGCTTCTGCATTTTTCTTCCTAGATTAATGTTAAAGACAAATTTGACAGTTTTCCTAAAAAAAAAAAAGGGAGTACTACTCAACAATGGAACTTCTTTAATACAGACACCAAAAGGGCAGAAATGCTTTATGTATTAGGGAGGTATCCGTGGTGTAGACGTGGAGATCTACTGGTATATTAATTCTGGTTTCCACAGGGCCAAGTAAACTGTACCCAAATTACACCCAACATTCCCATCATGCCTATATTAATTGTGGTGGCCACTGTATTTTCTATGGTATGGTGTAAAACAGTTATGCAACACTTTCATGCGGTATACTTGGAATATCCCACTTGTCCCTTGTATTTTCTTGGCGTAAAAACACTGAGAAAATACAAGTTACTCGTGGGATATTCCATGGTACACCATTCAAAAGGGAGTGTGTTTAAAACACAAAATGCTGAAGTGACAAGATGGTGCTACGGTTAGCCAAAGTAGCACTCCGCTTAGCCCAGCTATCACTGAGTCGACAGTGGCTTGCTCTGAATAATTGCAATGGTTAACCCATATCCCACATTGACTCTTACCCATAGTGTCATTTTGTCATTCCGCCATTTTGTGTTTTAACTGTGCATCCCTTGAAAGCGTAGCATAACTAGATTATAGTAAAAAAACGTTAAATGTAGTTATTTACAATTTAACACACTAGGCTAGCATAATGTTAAAAGCCACCAAAAAGAAACCTGCAAGAGACAACCCCATCACAACACCTCACTTGGTCTCACGTGTCCTGTATACCCCGCTACTCTTGCCTCTTTCTCTAAAAATTATCAACTTAAGCTCAAATTGACCTGCCAGAAGGATTTCCATGAGATGCTAAGATAGACATTATCTTAGACAGAGATTTACAGGGGTTACTGTACAGGGAGAAGAGATAATTAAAAGTTTACATGCTTTCAAACAACGCTAGAACTATCCGAAAAAAAACTTCCTTGTTAGAATTTTATCGAAAGCTAGGTGTTTTGTCTTGACTCAGCTGTTAAGCTAAAAAGTGTGGACTAGAAGCTACGTTTGACTCAAAGGATACTGCATTAATAAGTTGTTAACTTCTGCTTCATCAGGTCCGCTCTGTCCTGAATCTTCGTCTCCATCGTCCTGGAATTTGTTTTCATCGAGCTCATCCACATCTACTCCTCTAAATTTCGTCGACTGGCTAGCTTTGGACATATCAAAAGAAGATTTTCCACACAAAATATAAATTCTTCCAAGCCCTGATGTACGGAAACAACTCACTTTCACTCCCTTCCTCTTCCCATGAGTCTAAGGGAGCAAAGTTAAGGATCCAATCTCGCGCGGCCCGTGTTGACAGAAAATATATGTCCGCAATGATTATGTGTCCACATACGGCTTACTTTTGAATTCTACCTGGTTTTTTTTTTTGTTGTTGTTTGTTTTTTTTCTTCGCAGTTCTGACGCAGACTGTACTCATTATCTTACCTCAGAAATAATCTACATTGAATAGATTTTCGCACTAGTGTTTCTCCGTACAGAAGCTAATTATGTAAATAGCGCATTTAACGAGGGTGTCTGCTAAATATATATTCGCGAAATGCACGTTTGACTGTACTCGACAGCCGAAAAAAAAAAGATATTGAAAATCACAAAATTGATGAGTTGCATGAATTTTCGAATGATTTAAACCGCGATTAAAATTTTTAGACGTGAAACGGACCGGAGAATTGAGGAGAATTGGAACGATACGTTTCGATATTATTATTACGGTACTGTAAATAAATATGGACATGGCGAAGTGACAGTGCACAGAGCTGCGAGTTCTGCAATCACTGATATCGCCTTGGAAAGGGCAAAAATGAATAAATCATTACAACAAGGGCGGGGTATTCGTATTTGGTCACCCAGCCAAATATGAACCCCACCGAACAGAGCCTAACTTTGTTGACGAGACGCGGCAGACGCGGTGCTGTCCTTGTGGTATAGTGGTTTCACACAGAACATAGTTTCTTTTTATTTCTAAGATCTCTCCAAAGATGACAAAGAAAGAAAGAAAAATTAAATTTCGAAGCCCGCACCTGGGATTAACACCCCAGAACCTACGATCGTAAATGCCTAACGATATATAGATACACAACTGTGCCGAAAGCCTCTTCTTAACCACGTGAGGCAACGGATGGGCTAAGCCGAAGACGAAGAACCGTCAGAAAGGAAATGCAAACAGTGGAAAATCACTGATATTGGCAGGGAAAAAATACGAAAAAATAGGGGGGGAAATGAGAACCTGCAGTACAGGGATTTCCTTGATTTGGTGATCGAATAAGAAGCGTTACTTTCTTTGTGATAAGGTCTCAGACAAGGATCACCGATATCTTCATGAATGTTTTCAACGGTGTCACTCATATCTCCTCATGTGTTCTCATACCGATAAGTTTTGAACCATTTCTTCACCATGCCAGTGGGCTTTAACCTCATTTTTCGCCTCTTTAGCTCGATATATAAATGATATATAAGCTACGGACTAAACACTCAGTCCATTGGCATCAAGAGAGTGCAGAATGCAGAGTGCAGATTGCAGATTGCAGATTGTTTCGTGCCAGGCTACCCACCCTACTGAACAGAAGATACTGTACATGTTTTACAATGTCCAAAGTCAAGGACGAGTTGAGTTTTCTCTTTACATAGTTCAGAATCATATTGCAAATTACAATATTCACATTTCTGGCTATTTTTACCCAATTTTAATATTACTACTATTGGAAAACACTTACGTAGACACCTCGACCTTAAGTGTTAATTATGGCGCAGGCCTTCCCAGCAAATTGAGGTCGCGATCGGCTACCTGCATAAACATTTTGAAAGCCAACACACGCCAGGAGGTCAGTCTGCAGATTGTACTGGATGGGGGATGCCGGAAATTCAATCTCTGTAATTATTAAAAGACTTCTGTAATAGGCTCCTGTCTAAGATCGTTCTAAAAATCAATACATTTTTGCTAACGATTGCATGTTACAAATCTAGCAGCCGCGGTAAAGATTAAAGGGTTGGGGCGAGACCTAATCCCTTCTAGTCTGAAAAGTCTCGCCTCATAATCCCCGCTTCATTTCCAGAGAAAAACAGCATGGCAGCAGTCTAATTGTATGATCATTTCATTAATAAATGTCAGTTCGGCATTAAAGCGAAATTTAGAAATCATTTCTGATGGTTTTCTGAATTTCCCAAAATTATTGCACCACCATTTGTAACATTACTGCTTATCGGTAATTTTTTTTATGAAGAGCTTAGAAAATAAACGGTGCCAATCATTTTATTTCCTGACAATAGTGGCTGGTAACCGGGATACAGGAGCCAATGAGAAAGCTAGAAATGCGTATTCCGAGGCTTAGAATTTAATTTTTGAGATGACATAGACTTAGACAAGCATATTTTAATCTTTACTCGATTCTTAAATGGTGGGCTCTTAATGAGCACGATGGAATGTATTGAGGTAGAGATGCATCACGTTTAATCTGAGAGTTTGCTCCTTGAAGATCGAAGTAAAGCTTGCCTTCTCTCATCTCTCATCATTGACACTTTCTGTTGAAAAATTGCTCCTTAGTAGACGTCCTAACTTTTCCAACGTTCGTGTACATCCGACTAAAATGTAGACAATGCTTCGAAAGAACGTGGAAGAAACCTAAGCTATTTACGGCATTATAAATAACACGTCTCAGCCGAATGGAAGGGTATGTTGTAGTGCACGGTTAGTGCACGGAAGTACGGTTTCCGAGAGTCTTACGACAATCGCTGCACGTCAGTGTAAAGTCCAGAAATAAATATCTCTATAATCTCAGTAACATAATTAGAATCGATATCTTAAATTTCTAAAAGCATGCGAGTCAAGATTACCTCTCAAAAGACACTACAAGTTGCTTGATTATTCTTTGGTTAACTTGATATTAGTGACCCCCAAAGGTCTCTAGCTGGACACGCTTCCCGCTTAAAACCTCTGTAACAATTATGTAGATTAAAACAAAAGCTCCGCGATGGTATCCGGCAGCAAAGCTTTAATATTAATCCTATTCTTTTTATCTGACTAATTAATTATATATTTTGTTTCAAGGGGATTGTTACTTTTATTTCATTATTAATAGTTTCCTCTATATTACTTAGAATGATCCGATTTCCGAGATTAATAGCTACTCGAGGCTTAGGTCGCATGATAACATGTGATCTCTTTAATCACCAGCATTTTGAAACTGTTCCAATTCTTACTTCCGTTCAACAAGTCAGAAGCAAGTTGGTCTTATTTTCATGGTCACCGTCTTCAGTGAGTAGTAATATCCCCGCCATGTTTTCCACACACACCCATGAGCGTAGGCGTTGTTAACTCGGCCAGTGTAATGCCCCTGAAAGTAAATTCCATTCAAGTTGGAGTCATGGCACGTTCTGTACCACCAAGCAGCTCTGTGCTCACCAGCGCAATCCTTTCCCCAAACGTCATTATCTCTGTCCTTTGTCGAGAACGCCATCCCGTTACCCTTGGATAATGAATCACCCGCTGTACCTAAAAGGAAAGAGGTTAAACACACCACACCTGGATTACATCAAAGGAGCGTTCTAAACTCCGCACCCCAATTGATTAAAAGCCGAGTTACGGATATTTAACAATTATTCCCCGACCGCGTGTTGGATATGAGTTGGCTATAATCATCTCATATCCAACAAGCACGAGTCGAACAATTGTTTGATTAAAAACGCCTCCAAAATATAGAAAACTAAACTAAAAAAACGCGCCAAAAAGGTAGAAAATCGTGCGTACGCTTACCATATTTGTTAAACATAGTATAATGGCTCATAACCCATGATGGCTAAGCCAATGCAAACTCTCGAATTGCATTATCCAATGATCCAGTTATTAATAATCCTAGATATAACACTATAACATACGGAAACCATTCTTCACATTCCCTATCTTAGGCCTACGCTATGAGGCGTAAGTGCGATATAGTTTGACTGGTTACTGATGGCTGCAAGGGCTGTTCGCTCTGCTCATCATAATTAAATATACTTTTTATCATTTTATATAATATTGATATAATTATATATCACATTTTTAGCCATTATTACCGAATCATCAGCAGATTATCAGATCAGTCAGCTATTGTTGGTTTTTAGATTAGTATAATTCATTGGTGTTAGATTGTATATTATTGTTAGACATTTTAAATAGTTTTAATACGGACATTTTTTTTTTTTTTTCAAATTGTTTCTTTTTTCCTCTATTTATTTTGTGTCCCCAAATTAGTATGGGACTTCCCCAGGCTACAAGGCATTGACACGTTAATAAAGTTTCCATCTATAAAAGTTGTAGCCAAGGTTTTAATTGTTGCAGTTACATTTTTCACTGCCAAATAAAGAAAAATTGACGGGAAATTAAAAAATAAATATAACGAAGTTGACACACTCTAATTTCGTTGATAATTGAAACACAAAACTGCCTCTACGTACCTATAGGTTGTATCATGTCAAAGCAAACCTTTCGAAAAAGGAAGGAAGAAAAGGTCCTAACGGAAGATTTGTCTATCTATAACGTCATTCCATGTCATAAGCATCGCTTTACGTGATGGCAGCCAAAACACATTTATGACTAGAGTTTATTTGCATTGCAAGAAGTCAATCAATCTACTCACTGAACGGTGGTTACCTATTTCTCTCCGTAAAACATTTAAGTAGAAATAATTTTCTGTAGCCAGCTTGCTGAAAACAAGGTCATCTTTAGTGACTTAAACTTACCAGAATAAGCTCCCAAGTTGAGCTCATAGTTTTTGCTCTCATTTTCCACTTTGAACAGATCGTAACCTGCATAAGCCTTGGCTAGGTTAAAATCTTCCAAATCCACACGAAGTTCATTGACAGTTTGATTTGTCAGGCGATGGATTTTGTCCAAACCCAACCAAAACTCTCCATCCATGAGTCCAAATCCTTTCTTATAATTATCCCAGCCGCGGTAGAAATCTACTGCTCCATTCAGTCTCTTTTGAAACACCGTCCACCCTCCCCCACTGGTAGAGTGATCACAGTAAACATCAAACGCGTCACCGTCATCAGGACGTATGGTGTAAACTCCACTGGTTTTGTTTCCTGATTTGTAAACCTCTGCACAATTCCTTGGAACTAGAGGCAAAAATGTGTATATCAAAGCTAAGTGCTTATCTGAGAACCTTTGAAATCTCTTCTTTCAGTGCGACGCTCTACCGACCTCGTTACAAAGCAGATATATTATAATTATCTATTTATTTGTGCTTTACCTCGCTTCGATGGACATTCACCGCTGCAAACTGCATCAAGTTTAGCCTCCATAACATCCAATTTCTTTCCCATTTCTTTTACAAGACTAACAAGCTCAGTAAACTCTTGAGGGGATGGTCGGTCGTGGCATATCTGCTGCACGACACAACCTCCAGCGTTTTTTTGGTTTGTGCTAGGGTGGGAGGATCCGAAATCACGATTAAAAACAATAGTTACAAACACGAAGAATAATACGTTTGTAGAAATCATCGCTAGTGCGCCCTTTGGTTGAATAAGCGTTTACAGAAAGATGTCTTCACGTACAGTTGTCCTGATCCACGTTCTGCGACCATAACGTCACGTTCAACACTTTAAGTGTCGTCATATCGTGATCATATTACCTTCTGAAGGCCTTAACGAGGAAAATCGTTAAAGCCCTAACCTGTCCTTCATAACGCAAAGCAAACACTGACATGGAAACTGACATCTCGCTTTCCCTTAAACCTGCTGTCTCAACAACTTCTGCTTAGTATTTGACCTGCTGCAAATGGTCAATCATTTTTATGCATATGCTTACTACTGCACTACTAAATTTCACAATTTGCGGAATGTGTAAAGCTTGGCAGATTTAATATGGAAACATCAGAGTATTGGGTAACAGAAGCTAACAGATAGAGTGATTCAAATGGTCACGGCTAATAAAAGGTGAAATAAAATATTTTATGGTTACAGAGGTTATGGGATTGCTTGCTTCAACTCTTAGATCTTAACGGGTAACAACGCTTTCTGCTTTGTTCTGATAGATGTCATAGAATAAACAGCAAAAACCTAACCAACAAGGTGCCAAAAATATGTAAAAATATGTACTTCCCCTATTCCCCATAACAGACAATAAATCAACTTGTCACTTGTTAATAGGGAAACTGACTGCTGCACTGAATATCAGACTGCAGTGCTGCGAGCAACAGACCCCGTTTATTGAGACCAACAAATACATGTGTGAGGTTATGTCATTGTAAGATGCAGATAATAATGACGTGCCTGTTTCCCGTCAGGTAAAACCTCCCTTTTGGAGGAAGCCTGAATCCTCCCGAATGCAAAGTCAGGCACTTAACAAGAATCTTGAGGGACAACAACTGTAAGATAACAAAATAAATCAAATTGACGTTAAATAAAACATTTCGAAACGAAAGCAAGGTGGTAGTCAGCATAGAATGGCTCGACTAATGAAAATTCGGCCCTTTTACAATTTAAAAATTGTCAGTGCGTCAACAAAGACCCAAAAAACAGCGATTTGCTACTGTTTTTCGAACCACAACAAATAACAATTTTAGCTTACTGAACGTTTTGATAAAGTTCTCTATGATATAAGCCAGCTTGCATCTAAACTTGTAGCTCAATGTCCATAAAAGCACTTGAATTTCCGATTGCACAATATGAGGGAAATGGCTTCCTTCCTAAATGATTTATTTCCAAGCGCATAAAAAACAGGATTAAGTATTGAACTTGAATAACACAAACATTCAGTGAGAGGTCTTAACCACATTCCGCCTTGCCCTGGATGGATGTAAGACTGTATCAAATCCAACATTGTTATGGGACCCCAGCTAACGACAAAACTAAACACAAGCATTACAAGGATTAATAAGGTCTTAAACTTCGATTTGACAACTGAACGGTTCAGCATTGAATGTTTTGCCCTGTTTGACAAGAAACAAAAAACTCTAGTATAAGAAATTATCATGATACAAAGAGGCACTAAGAATCCACATACGAAGTAAATAGTGAACGCAATCTGGCTTCGCAATGATCCATGTGGCCCAGCAATGCAATGTGCTCTATGCGACTTGAGGGTAAGGACCCTGTGAGGAGCCTTCGTGTTCGTTATATTATCAGTTGTTGAGTTATTTCCATATCCCGTGAACTGACGCATTAATCTTCTGCTTGTTGCACTGTAGACAAAACCTGCTGAAATTGAAACTGCATAGATCCATATGAGAATAATCGCCTTCTTTCGATGACAATACCGAGTTTTGAAGCTTTGCAATGGGTGAACGATGTTTTTGCCACGATCCATCGCAATACCAGCCAAAAGGGCGAATAGAACAGTTTCACAGGTGTACTGAAAGAACACAACGGCTTTACAATGTGGGGGTGAAATGGCACCATCATTAACTTCCTCGACAATCCTCTTATAGATTCCAAGTATTCTGAATACAAAGTCCGCTAAAGCCAAGTTGAAGATGAAGAATTTGGAGAGTGTTTTCCGATCTTTCTTCTTTATCATCACAGTGCAGACCAACAGATTAGATACAATACCAGCGAACAATAAAATGTTACGAATCACATTTAAAACTGTATTGAATGTTGCCATGTCTTTGGAAAATCTTTCGAATTCCTTCAACTCCTTAGCCATCTTTCTCCAAACAACTTTCGTCTGACTTTGTCTACGAAAATACTGTGTCCAGGGAAAAGGGCTTCATTTGCAATGTGCTCGTACCTACGTGCAAAAACATTGCGCAAGGAAAACAACAAATTGGAGTAACGGGATTTATATTTTTTCACCTGCAATGGCTTTGTTTTCATGTCGAACGCAAACATTTTACGAAACAAAGACCAGCTTTCAAATGATGTAAATTGCACGAACATTGGACTTACACATGCAGTTACTGAAATTCTCTGTGTAGAATTTATGTATCATCAAATTAACTTAATTTTAGCTTCAGGCTCAAATTAGGTCGGAGAAGAGTGACACTTCTTTAGCTACCTAACCTGGCAGTTTATATTTTTAAAATAAATATAAAATCGGGAAACTGATCCTTAAAGCAGGGAGAGGCGATGAAGACAGAAATCAAATAAAGAAATAAAGTCAAAATATATTTGCTTGATATTTCGGTTAAATAAACTAAACCTACTTCAGCGGCAAGAAGAAAAAACTTCTTTCAAGATTTTTTCTTCTAGCCCCTGAGGAAAGTTTGTTTTCCAAACCGGAATATCGGGAAAATATATGTTGCAGTATATTTCTTTATTTAATCTGTGTCTTTATCTCTTCTCCCCACCGTAAAGATCAGTTTAACGATTTTATTCATTATTTCAACATTTGTCCAAGTCTTAATAGATCCGGCGCTCTTCACTGGTTTGTCGGTGTGGTTTTGCCGTTAACTTTATTATTTTCAATCCTGAAAAATATGGAAGTGTAGCCATTATGTATCTAGTGTGAGATCAGTATGAATTACTACATGCTGATCTGTTTACAAGTTTACCGACAAATAAATGTTTATCTTCTCCGTGAAACGCAGGCGACAAAGTTAACCATATTTATATACTTTTCAAGCTACATTTATAGCAACAGTTGTAGGGGGATTCCATGTAAAGAATAAAGTTCTCAATAGTAAAACATTGCAAGGAAGAAAATCAGCGAAATTGTTTAGTAAACTGTTCATCTTAGGGATTCATATTCCAAATTTGGATCATACAGGCAGCCAATGAGAATGCTCTTTTTTGTTACAGGCTAGTGAGACAAGTCCCTCCAAAATAATGACCTTTAATTACACCGAGCGCAGCCAAGTCCGTACAAAAACGACCGAGGACCAATATTCCCTAGTGCGGCTAGAATAAGCTAGGTTAGTAACTATATTGTTTATCATATAGCAAAAATTAAAAAAAAGCAAGGCTCATGGCCGTCTCCATGGAAACGGTCCATTTGGCAAAATACGGAACCATAAATAACCAATCAGAATGCTCGGATTTACTTCAAGACAACCTTACCATATAATAAGTCTACTTATTCACCTTGTTTGTAAGGTGTAAACACAGAAGAGCTCTCGCAGAAAATAACAACGACTTCATAAAATGAAATATAAAGGCAATAAAGGCTTCGTAACGGAGAGAAAGCGATCCGATGTGTAGATCATAAAACCACAAAAGGAAACAGTAGAAGAGACAAAAGCCTTGAAATCCTATTCTGCCATTGCGTCACTATGACGGCGAACACAATAAGCTGAGACTAAGACGGTTTGGTCTAAAATTAGGCCGAAACGCGACGCAAAAATTACCACCGGAAATTCTCTTGGATCAAACTTATCGCTAAGTCTGCGGAACTATATGGTAGATTTCCGTTCGAGTAAGGTTAACCACCATAGGAGATACGTCACTAGGTACCTGACACATCACCTTGAACACGTTCAAATGTTGATTCAATCAAGATCGTGAGGCAATCCCACCGACATGGTCAAGTATTATAACCACTAGAAGAGATGCGTCACTAGGAACCTGACGCATCACCTTGAACACGTTCAAATGCTGATTCAATCAAGATCGTGAGGCAATCCCACCGACATGGTCAAGTATTATAACCACTAAAAGAGATGCGTCACTAGGAACCTGACGCATCACCTTGAACACGTTCAAATGCTGATTCAATCAAGATCGTGAAAGAATCCAACAGGCATGGCCAATATAGGAAAGAAACACTGCAAAAACTGGACAAACGTACTTAAATACCCAGCGAAAACATTTTAAACAAACTACATAACCGATTATAAGACTGCAAACCGGAGGAACTTATCAAGCCTCTATTCAGTATAAGTTGAATTCTACTAGTATACTAATACAAATGCTGCAATCTGATTGGCTGAGCTACTCGTATAATATATAGATTTAGGCCAGCCTAAAAGCGTAGCTCCTGGGCCGGGTTGTTCAGAGCCAAATTAAGCTAACCCATAAAAGGTAAAATTTTGATTTGAGTTTTGCAACTTTGCGTTGAGGTTTTCTGTACATTGTTTGGCCTTGTGTTTTGAGTTTTAATTATCACTATATACACAAAACAAAGCAGCAAAAAACATTTGTATAGAAGAAAAAGTTATAATTCGGTTAACTTTTAATGCTGGGTAAGCGTTAACCGGTTTCCGAACAATTCTGCCTTGTTTTTAACAAGTTAACCTGACATGAGCCCGCGATCCAATCGAAAACCAGCACTTGGTCAGCGGTCAACTTCAAAAATAATGCGTCGAAAAATATTTGGAAACCATTATTTGCGTTAATTTATCATGAGTTGGAATTCTCCTAAAACAATTAGATTATGCGCTCTCGATTTCTATGAGGCGATAGTTGATTCGGCCTACGGCCTCATCAACTATCACCTCATAGAAATCTCGAGCTCATAATCTAATTGTTAAATAGATACTGGCCCGTGCCTTTTCTATTTCTTTCCTTTGTGTGCCATACTTCCCTTGTCAGTACACACCAACTTTCGTGTAAATCTAGTTGTCTTCATTTGTAAAGTGCAAAGTACAAAAGCTTAACTAAAAGATATTTGGAATAGAAGAACTGGCGTCAAAATAAATTGTCTTTTAGACTGACGTGCTGGCATTGACAATTAGCTATTAAACGTTTGTTTTATTCTACGGAGAAAAAGTAAGCAATAGCCGGCTTTGACATTTGGGTCAGCGCAGTCGGTCGGGGTGACAAACGAGAGTTTTCAAAGATGTTTTATTCTTGCAAGTTGAAAAGAGCCTTGTATA